ATTTGATTTGATTTGATTTGATTTGATTTGATTTGATTTGATTTGATTTGATTTGATTTGATTTGATTTGATTTGATTTGATTTGATTTGATTTGATTTGATTTGATTTGATTTGATTTGATTTGATTTGATTTGATTTGATTTGATTTGATTTGATTTGATTTGATTTGATTTGATTTGATTTGATTTGATTTGATTTGATTTGATTTGATTTGATTTGATTTGATTTGATTTGATTTGATTTGATTTGATTTGATTTGATTTGATTTGATTTGATTTGATTTGATTTGATTTGATTTGATTTGATTTGATTTGATTTGATTTGATTTGATTTGATTTGATTTGATTTGATTTGATTTGATTTGATTTGATTTGATTTGATTTGATTTGATTTGATTTGATTTGATTTGATTTGATTTGATTTGATTTGATTTGATTTGATTTGATTTGATTTGATTTGATTTGATTTGATTTGATTTGATTTGATTTGATTTGATTTGATTTGATTTGATTTGATTTGATTTGATTTGATTTGATTTGATTTGATTTGATTTGATTTGATTTGATTTGATTTGATTTGATTTGATTTGTACCCCGCCTATCTGGACCAATGGAACACTCTAGGTGGCTTCCAACATAAAATTTAAACAATAAAGACAGCAAATACATAAAATACAAAACAGCTATAATAAAAATAAAAATAGGAAAAATAAGAAGAAGAAAATCAAGAGTTTGCTGGAGGGAAGGCCTGAGTGAAGAACCATGTTTTTAGTTGGGTTTTAAAGATGCCCAGTGTAGTAATGCCATGTATAAATATTTGCCGTGCTATGTCATTTCCCCTTATGTCTGAGGAAGTGGGCTTGTCTGTATTCAGCTGTGGATCCAGAGGTTGGGAGTTCGATTCCCCCACTGGGCCTCGTTGACAGGGGCTGGACTTGATGATCCCGAGTGCCCCTTCCAGCTCTGCCGTTCGTTCCAAGATTGTTCTGATTATTCCTGTTCACAAATGCTCACATTAAAGAAATATAAGCTGCCACCACGTTTTTGTCTTCTTTACTAGTTCTTTTAATTTTTTTTACTTTAATTTTTCCCTATAAGAATTGCATACGTAAACAAAGCACGTGTTTACTGTGGACGAGAGGAAAGGCCACTGCAGGGATGCTTCAAAGAAGTACTTTCCATGCCACGAACCCACACACACACATTAAAGCCCAGTTTCAGAAATATAAGCTGCCACCACGTTTTTGTCTTCTTTACTAGTTCTTTTAATTTTTTTTACTTTAATTTTTCCCTATAAGAATTGCATACGTAAACAAAGCACGTGTTTACTGTGGACGAGAGGAAAGGCCACTGCAGGGATGCTTCAAAGAAGTACTTTCCATGCCACGAACCCACACACACACATTAAAGCCCAGTTTCTCCAGTTTGGGCAAAGGGCCCGAAAGACAAGCGCCCAGCTCGACTGGTTGGACAACAGCTGGCATCGGGCAACAAGGGCCTGAGGGGAAGCCCGCAGAGTTCCTCGAAAGAGGCGGTGCAGGGGGCAACGGGATGGGGCAGGCCCCTGAGCAGCCCCCGAGCCCTGCTCCTCCCCATGGCCGGCCGGACCCGCAAAGGCGAGGCACTCTCTGGGAATGAAGGGCTGGGGCCCCAGAGGGGTGGCAGCCATGGGCCTGCCTGGGGAGCAGCTCTTTCCAGAGCCCCCCCTGCTCTTGGCTGTGCCCTCAAACACAGCCATAGCCTCACTGTCCTGCACCCCTGCATGCCATGCAACCAGGACTATTGAGGGGCTGGATACAGGGGAGGAGGATGGTTGCCTGGACACCCTCTCTGCTACCTTCTGCTCTGCTCTGCTTTGCTTTCCTGGCTGGCAGCGGCGGCTGCTTGGCCCCCACACAGCCTGAGGGCTTCAACAGCAGACCCTCTTGGGCAGGCTGAGACGGTGAAGCCCCCACATCACTGGGGCAAAGGAGGCAGAGAGGCACTCCGGCTTGGTCCATGGGTCTGTGGGAGAGAGGTCACCAAACGCCTTCCCCAGCGCCATCCTGTTGCCCACACTTTTGGCCCTTCCCAGCTGCTGAAAAGGAGAAAGGACTGGGTGCTGGCGGTCGCAATGGGCCCCCCTCTTTCTGTGCTGCTGTGGGCCAGGGAAATCCTCCCGCTTCCTGTTCCCTCTGCTGAGCCCAGTGGATGAGGCAAGGCTGCGAAGGGTCCCTGCCTGGGGCTGGGTGGGTGGAAGGGGCACGAAAGCAGAAGTGGCTTCAGGCTGGCTCAGGCCCCTGGTCCATCTAGCCCAGGACCATTCCACCCAGAGGTTGAGCCAGCGGTCTCTAGGGCTTGGTAACAGGATTGTTCCCCCCTCAGCTCCCAGCCCCCAAAAAAGGGGTGTGGCCAGTTTGGCCCATGGACCATCGCGGCCCTCAAAATCCCAGCTCACGAGGGGACCTGAGGAGCCAGGCCTCGGCCGGTGGGTGCCTGAGTCCCTGGAAGAGGGCCAAGAGGGCCTACCGCCTACTGGCGCCAGAGGAGCCCCAGCGGCTGCCCAGCTCTCCCTTCGTCCACAGCCTTCCCCATTGATCACCGGGACCGGTCCTTGGAGAGCGGGAAGAAGCGGGGGTTGAAGCTGTCGGCCCCCCAGCACGGCCTGGAACGGAGGCGGAGGCTCCTCTTGGGGATCGGGCCTTCCAGAAGCTCTGCTTCCCAGAGGCACCTCGAGCCGCCATGACAATGCCCGGCTGCCTTCCCGTGCTCCCTCTCGGGCTCGCCTCTTCTGCACT